CTTCATGGGTTTCTTACAATATAGTATCCGGAAGTAAAGTTCTAACTCTAACATTAGGGTTGCATAATTTCCTAGCTTTTGTACTTCATGCTTCTATAAGGCACAGTACCCTATGTATTTTATTAGCTGCTTTGTTAATCTGTCTTGCCACATTCAAAGATCTGTGCATGGACACTCCTAGCTCTCTCATCTCTAATATTGCCTACAAAATGTATCGCACCTTGCACTTCTCTGCATTGAATTTCATTTGCCATGTGTCTGCCCATTCCACCAGCCTATCAAATTGAAGTCTATTACTATCTTCCTCACTATGTGCATAACTTCCAAGTTTCATGTCACCTGCACATATCAAACTTTTGCAAATTAATGTAAAATTGTTAGTGCAAAATTATTCTGAGCAATATGGTACAGTACAAACCATCTGACGGACATATAATAGAAACTAGCATTAGTTCTTTATAGGATGATGGAATTACTGGAATTTTGGTCTGTTTTCAATAAATTATGCAGCATCTTCAACATCATGAAATGCCCAAGCTGCACAATGTGGCTTTACAAAATGTGACACTGAGCTGCAAAAAGAGATTAGATGACCTAAAGCATGATCAGTAAAGTTTATTTTAAGTAGTGTCTCAAAGAAGACAGAGAGTAAGACATGCACGGCATTTCTGATGTTGGGACCTAGAAAGTGCAGATATGATGTCCAATGCTATAACAATTAAAATTGTGTATACACAAGAGGTCAGAATTACAGGAGCAAAGATCTCTCAAAACGTTGTGGTATGGGAGATAACAGAGATAGGGATCAATGGGGCCATAGCAGTATTTTCATAGAACCCTACTGTGTGGAAACAGGCCCTTTGGCCCAACAAGTCCACACCGACACTCGCAGCATTCGACCTAGACCCAGCCCCCTGTAACCCACCTAATTAACACATCCCTGAACACTATGGACAATTTAGCATATCCAATCCACCTAACCTGCACATCTTTGGACTGTGGGAGGACACTGGAGCACCCGGAGGAAACCCATGCAGACACAGGGAGAATGTGCAAACTCCACACAGTCGCCCAAGTGTGGAATCGAACCGTGGTCCCTGGCGCCGTGAGGCTGCAGTGCTAACCACTGAGCCACCGTGCTGCCCATTCCTGGGGGATCAGTGAGTCTTTATGAATGGAACTAAGTAATGGTGTGAATTTTCCCTAAACAAGAACACCACTCCCCCTCCTTTCTTGCTTCCCCTTATATCCTTCTTATAGCAGCTGTGCCATGCAACATTGTGCTTAGTCCTGTCCATCGCTCAGCCATCTTTCCCCGTCCCATGTTCCCATCCATGCCCTCAGTTCATCTGCCTTACCTGTCAGGTGTCTTGCATTAAAATAAATGCAGTTTAATTCATCAGTCTTCCCTTGTTTCCTGACGTGCTCTAGCCTGCTTTGTCTCCTTAACTTGCTCTCTAATTTCTGTACTAGCAACAAGGATGAAAATTTGAAATGCAAAATGTTGCTTCATCAGGAACTAATATTGGTGAGTGAACACAGGATTATAGGGGAACTTGGTCCTAGTCAAAACACAGGAAGCAGAGTTTTTGATGACCTTAAGTTTACAAAGGGTAAAATGTGAGAGGTTGGTCAGGCGTGCATTGGAATAGTTGAATCTGGCAACAACTAAGACATGAATGAGGGTTTTAGCAGCAGGTGAGCTAAGACAGGGCGATGTCCGGGAATGTTGACAGATGTGAAAATACGTTGGCTTAGTGATGACAGGAATAGAAGGTCAGAAGCTCATTTTGGATCAAACGTGATACTCCGGTTGTGAACTGAGTGCTTTAATCTCATACTGTTGCTAAGGAGCTGATGGAATCAGCAGCAAGGGAACAGAGTTTTGGAGTGGGGACCTAAAACAATGACTTCAGTCTTTCCAATATTGGAAGACAGTTCTGCTCAACCAGTACCGGATGTCAGATAAGCATTCTGATAATTTAGCCACGGTGGAGGAGTCTTTACTGAAGTTAAAAGCCATGTTCTATCTGAACTCATCTTCTCATCATAATAAATATTAAAATTTGAATATTTATAAAACATCTTGAGGGGGAAACATTAAACTAGTTAGAAAGATTGCTTTTTTGGTATTCAAGTATCTACTCCCTTAATATTCTCCCTTTTGCTGGTCAGTTCACTACAGAGAAGTACAACCATTTGTAACTTAACACTGTGCAGCAGCATCATGGCTGAATCTAATATGGTCCTTCCCAGATTCCAAAGGATCCTCACCCAAGATTTCCTAGTCAGAAACAACACGGTCAATTGCTATTTACTGAAACTAGTAGTGGTCAACTAACTCAGTACAAACTAGGGATATACCTACCTGTTTTTATTTTAAGATTTTCGGCATCTGCAGAATGTTACCTTTAGATCTAGGATATTCCTATGTCGCTCGGCACACCACCACAGAACGTACCTATCCACTGTCCACTGCAAACATTTATAACAAAATTGTTACCATTTTAAAATAAGTAATTTCATGATAAGAATCCTTAAGAAGTGTTTCGAATAGTTTACAACTTTACAAAATTACTTTCCCAAAAGATGGACAACTTTCATCTGTGGGGCTATGATCCAACATTTAGGAAATCAAAAATGTTATGTTTCAGCATTCAAAATTCTACATCAAACCTACTATACAATAATTGAAAACTAATACATAACATCAAAATTCCAATTCTCACAGACTTGCATCATGTTATGCAAAAATAGTTGCAATTTTTAACTGTAAATAGTTACATTAAGTAGTACAAATCATTAAATAATGTATTTAAAGATTTTTTAAAATTACCCACATTTCTAAATTTAAAAATGATCTATTGCAGGCAAATGAAATAATTCAAGGGATTAGTTCAGCTAGTGACTGTTACAGCTTGTGGAAATAAATTCCAAAGTATTTCATCAAGTAAATGCTAATGTAATAAGATTACATCAGTCTGCAATGGATTTGGATTAGGGCTCTGACATTCACTAGGTCACACATAAATGAGAATGAAATTAATCACTGGAGAGTTTCCCAGCCACATAAAGTGTCACTACTAACAGGACTTGAAATTTCTTTGTCTCTAGCACGTTGATATTGTTTCAAATTAAGTGTAGAATTCTAATAAATTTGTGACAAAGCTCAATTCAAAGCACACTGCAAATAGTATCTTCAAATATTTGGGCTTCAAAGATAAAATTGTATGGCTGTCTATTTTGCATGAAAAATTATAATATTCAATTTCTAACTCCAATAGGATTGTCTTTTGTATGCATCTACCAATCTTCACTCAGCATCTTTCTCATTAGATTGTCTCAAGTTAATATTAGTCACATTAAAGGATAATACCACAATAGTAGAATCTAACTTTTGAGGACCACCCTGAAAACCTATGTGCACAATTGTTTTAAGAAAGTGCGAAGTTCATCTTGTATACGCTAAGTGGATGAATTAGTTGCACAAACAGATATAAATGGTTGTGATATAGTTGAGATTATAGAAATGTAGCAGTAAGGTGACCAGGAATGGGAAGAAGGACAGACAAAAAGGAAAAGGATTTGGGTAGCACTGTTGTTTAAAAAGGAAATTAATACAACAGTGATTCATTTGTCCCCCTTTACTGAAATCTAAATTGCATCCAATCCGCAGGTCAACTGTGTTTTGTTTACCAATTTAGATGTCCCTTCCTTCAATTGAATACACCCCCTAATTTAGGATATTAACTCTGATGAAGTGAAATCTGTATGGTTAGAGCTTAGAAATGCCAAGAGCAGAAAATGATAGTGGTGGTGTTCTTTCAACACGCAAACTACACTAGTAATATTGGGGAAGGTACTAAACAGGAAATTACAAACACAAGCAATAAAAAGTCAGCTATGATTATTAAGTCTAGTACTTGGGGGAAAAAGCAGCATGTTTAATAGTGTTAAATATAAATCATTGAAATTTAATTTACTGAAGTGAAATACCATTGAAATACTTCTAATCAAGATATTTATCTGCTATTGGCTTTAATAAAGTATTTTGGCATCTTGATGCTCAAGGCATAACATGATGAAGCAGGTTTCTTGCGCAGGATCAAGGATCTTGTGAAAAAAAATTGAAAAGGTTCATATAAATGTGCATACAATTAAAGTGTAAGAAAGATAATATTCAATCAAGGTTGTGATTCCAACCACAGTACATGTTTTCAATGTTGCTGTCAACATTTATCACATTCAAAGCATAATTGTATTAATAGTATTGGAAGAGTTGAATCAACTCTTCAATATCGATTGCCAGTAAACCACAGCAATTCAATACATCAAACTAATAAAAACTTTTGTTCTTGTGCAAGTTTCCTGCTGTGATGGTACTCAAAAATAATTGCACTGAATATAAACATCAATGACAGCTAAAAGTAAAACTGCAAAAGATGCCTCATTCTCAAAAGTCCAATTTTTGTTTACAAATTAGCTCATATAATTGAGCAGTGCACGCAGCTGATCATATAAGTGAATGTCAAAAACACATTGTTATCTAAAGCTAAGATCATGTCCACCAAGCTTGCCATAAAACTGAAATCTCATTTGCCTTCTGTGATCTTACTGTGAAATATCCCTGCCAAAATCTGAGTAACAGTAGAGGAAGAATTCAACACAAGATTTAGAGAATGCTACTTTTTGTTGAAAAAGTGCAGTAAAATAATTTAGTATAACAGCTAAGAAAATGAGCCACATAATTCCAGTCAAAAGAATTACACAAAGAACAGAGATTCACTGGAGTTTGAGATCATTGGTTTTTCAGAAGTGTGACTTTGTAAAGTTTTATACAAGTTACTGCTGATTGTGTGACTACACAGCTACAAGAACATGCTTATTTTGTATCTTCTATTCCACACCATTACCATATTTCCAATGCATATCATAGGATCGTATCTCATATTGGATGGAACCCTGGGTAAATTTTATTTCAGAGCAAAAATAAAGTCAAATTTTCTTAAACTACATATTTATTTTATAGATTGGGGCAAGCGACACGAAGCTGGAATGAGCTCATTTCTGGTGTTGATTTCTGAGAAATATGAACCGATAGACTAGGGTTTAACTTCTGCAGACGTCTTTTTATCCGTTTTGCTTCTCTCTCTCTTACGAGCCTTGCTTGCCGTTTTTCTGGAGTCTCATTCGCCCTTTTCAATCTCATAGCTTCTCTCTCACGTTGTAACCTTCTTGCCCTCTGGTCTTCCGACTCCTGCATTCTCTGAAGACGCTTGGCTTCACGATCTCTCAGCCTCCTCATCTCCCTTTCATCTGCTGATTCATTAGCACGTTTAAGTCTTTTTGCAGTCCGTTCACGTTCTAGTCTTTGCAAACGAACATGCAGAGGCTCATTCTGTCTCCGGGCCATCCACTTATGGACTGAAGTCTCTTCAGCCTCAAGAAGATTTCTGTAAGCAACACATGTTTCACAAACAAACAGCATCCCCGCAGCTACCACGGAATTCCAGAATGGTCCTGCTTCTTCAGGTATAGAAGTTCTCTCCGTGTTATCACTGATATCAGATTGTCCCTCTGGCAACTTCACACTGTAAATTCAACATCCCAAGCAAACATCAGGGAGAACGTATGACTCTTTTGTATTTAAAAAAGGAAATTCCCATGCTTATATAACAATAAATTTATGACTAAATAAAAACCGAAAGAACTGCGGATGCTGTAAATCAGGAACAAGAACAAAGTTGTTGGAAAAGCTCAGCAGGTCTGACAGCATTTATGAAGGAGAAAACAGAGTTAATGTTTTGGGTCCGGTGACCCTTCCTCAGAACTGTTCTGAGGAAGGGTCACCGGACCCGAAACACTAACTCTGTTTTCTCCTTCATAAATGCTGCCAGACCCCGCTGAGCTTTTCCAGCAACTTTGTTTCTGTTGTTGCTGAATAAATTTATGACAATGTCCAGAAATAGAACTTTTAAAGTACAATAAGTGAGAGAAAAGGAAAAGTTAATATTCTGTACAAAATAGATTGAATTCAACATCAAATATTTATAAAGATGGTAAGCTTAAAACACTTCCGAACAGTAGAAAAGCAAAACAATTGCACTCAATATCGTATCACTCACACTACTTCTTCAACAAAATCTAACCCACTGTGATTGTATGGTGTTCCAATGATAATTTGGATGTAGATGTAGTCATCCCAAAACCCACAAAACTATATCGCAGCATAATTCATCATCATCAAAATATTGCATAATTAATACTCTTTTTAAGATTCTTTGCATCTCCAAGGGATCAAATTTAAAAGACAGATTTATTTTTCTCTAACCTTCCTGTGCACTGCAAGAGTGAGTGTTTGAAAAGTCTTCCATTCACCTACAGGTGTTTTGGGGCAGTCTAACATCACAAAAGGCATGACAAATACGTTTCTCTTTCCCTCATGACTAAGCACAACTTTAAAACTTCAATATTTTTAAAATCGCCAACAAATTCAGAAACCTTAAAAGAAAGTTTTTTTTTATTCACTGAAGGGAACATGGGTGTCACTGGCTAGGGCCAGCATTCATTGCCCGTCTCCAACTGTTCTGGAATGGGTGGTAATGAGCTGCTTCTTGAATCCATGTACACTGCGGGGGGCAAACTACTCAGTGCTATTAGCAAGGGAGTTCTCTGGCCAGCATACTTAATTTGCTATCATTAATATTTAATTGTGGCTACAATCAGATGAGACATGATACAGCAGGCTTAAAGGACTGAATGATCTACTCCTGCTGCTAATCTGTACGTTCATAGTGGTCAGCACAGATAATCACTTCTTAAAAAATATATATAAATGCAGCAAATTCTAGCCCAAAGCTCGATCGTTTAGTTCCTAAAAAGTAACAAACATGCAGCTTTTCTTTTATTGTGAAACCTGGATCATAGCATTGTTGCTCCTTTCTCTTTTACATTGACTAGCATTCATCATAGGTTACCGACCTTTGCACATGGTCCTTTGCTGCAAGTGGCTGCCCACACACTGCACAGTGATATGGTTTCTTGCTAGAATGGATCAACACGTGCTTATCCAGTGAACTCCTACAGCTTAATGTACTCCCACAAATACTGCAAATGAGCCCTTTGGTATCTCTGATGTCTGTACGGTGCTAGAATGATTAAAACGTGAGTTCACAAATACAGTCTTGTATCAACTACTAGCAGTCAAGTTACACATTTTAAAGCTTTTAGAACAATTTATACATTGATCTAAAGAAGTAAAATTGGAACAAAAATAGAAAAATATTGAAAAAAAAAGGCACTTGAAGTTAGACAGCATCTGTGGAGAGAAAAGACAGAAATCAAAATTGAACCCCTTCAGCGAACTGGAAAAGATTACAGATGAACTTTTTTTTTGGAAAAGAAACTATAGAACAAAGGAAAGGTGAAAAACAACACATGGATTAAATTTGGTATCAGTTAATCAGCCAGGCCAACTCTCAATTCAAGATTAATTTTAACTGAAAATGTGTTCAAATGCAAATCAGGGCAGGACTTATACACTTAATGGTAAGGTCCTGGGGAATATTGCTGAACAAAGAGACCTTGGAGTGCAGGTTCATAGTGCCTTGAAAGTAGAGTCACAGGTAGATGTGATAGTGAAGACGACGTTTGGTATGCTTGCCTTTATTGGTCAGTGCAAGGAGTATAGGAGTTTTGAGGTCATGGTATGGTTGTACCAGCCATATGACGTAATATGTACCAACTATGGTGTTGGATGGGCCATTATTGGAATACCACATGCAATTCTGCAATCCTATAGGAAGGATATTGTTAAACTTGAAAAGGGTTCAGAAAAGATTAACAAGAATGTTGCCAGGGTTGGAGGGTTTGAGCTATACAGAGAGGCTGAATAGGCTGGGGCTATTTGCCCTGGAGTGTCACGGGCTGAGGGGTGACCTTATAGAGCTTTACAAAATCATGAAGGGCAAAAATGGGGTAAATTGACAAGGTCTTTTCCCTGGGGTGGGGGAGTGCAAAACTAGAGGGCACAGGTTTAAGATGAGAGGGGAAAGATTTCAATGGGACCTAGGGGGCAACTTTTTCCATGCAGAGGGTGGTGTGTGTATGGAATGACCTGTCAGAGGAAGTGGTGGAGGCTGGTACAATTACAACATTTAAAAGGCATCGGGATGGGTATATGAATAGGAAGGATTGAGGAATATGGGCCAAATGCTGGCAAATGGGACTAGATTTATCTAGGATATCTGGGCAGCATGGACAAGTTGGATCGAAGGGTCTGTTTCTGTGCTGTATATTTCTATGACTCTATATGTTGATATTTGTATTGTAACACAGTTGATTTGCACAAAACAAATAAGATTTTTAGTTCTGGCTATCCTTATTTCTCAAAACATGGCTAATCTAATTAGAAAGAGCAAATGAGAACTTTCCTTGAATATTTCAAACACGCTCAACTTTACAAACAATATTATATAACCACGATTTGAAAATGTCTCAGTGGCTTATTAAGATTCATCTGGTAACTTTGCAAATGCATTTCTACATGAACGGTGCTAAATTTCTGACAATTCTACCACAGTTCAAAATTAATTGTTCATGCAGTCATTTAAAATAACATTAAAGTGCTCAGTAGGAATGATTATCAAATAGCATTTGACATCGAACCACTTAAAAAGAGACAGGAGGACAGGGTGATGATAAGCTTGGTCAAAGAAATAGGTTTTAAGGATTACCTCTCTCGCCTCTAAGACAGCAAAGTTTGGGAATTCCTGAGCTTAGAGTCTAACCAGCTGAAGCATGCCTGCCAATGGCAGAGTGATGAGAATGGGAATTCACGAGATCAGAACAGGGAGATGTGCAGGGATTTCAGAAGTTTCTGGTGCTTGAGGAGATAGCAACAGGGAGGGGCATGGTCATGGAGAGATTTGAAAATAAGGATGAGAATTTTAAACAAAAATAAAAGAGCAAAAATCAAGGTGTTGCCAGGAGCTAATGAGGACAGTGCACACAAGGATTATTTGAACAGAGCTTGCTGTGAATTCAAGGTAAAGTCACCATCATGGGTTGATCTCTCATTAGAGAGAGAACTGGTGGTGGTTTAACCCAAGGATCTTCACACTTCAGGCAAGGTGACAGGTTGCTGTTGACGTCACTTTGTATCGCAAACAGAGCTAACCGATCCCAATGAGGATTGGTGACCTAGCTAATGAAGGGTGCAAGATTTAAGGCAGCCAACAGGATTTGTAATTATTTGTAATTACAATTACAATAATTTGTAATAATTTATTATTATTTGTAATTAGAATAATTTGTAATTCTAGAGAAGGTTGTTCTCAAATTATGGCATACCTATCCCTGGGGTTAGAGGAGATGTTTCCAGGGCAATACATAGAGGTTGTCTAATGATGGATCTGACATCTAGAAGTAAACAAGTCGTTTATTCTGTGAGAAAGTTGAAATTTAAAAACTTAACTGTAATGTGGACAACGAAAGAAACATGACAAAACTCTTCTAGAAGCTTTCCAGTGGATGTTTGCCCTGCATGATTTGTTTATTCCCAAATGCAAGGATATGAATTTTAGCATGAAACAGACTGGACAGTTTGTTCTAGGGGGACAGATTGCTGTGACATTCTCTCATCAGCAAAACCTCAGCTCATTTTATGGTTTCCTACAGTGGGTCACAATTGTTTATCTCTTCCAAATTATTTGGAGCCAGTCAGGTCATTAGGGGCAATGCACCAGAGTAATTGATAATTTTAGCTGGCTTTTCACCTGGAGAAGAGAGACACACGTCTAATCTCCAGTTTCTCCGAGAGTGCAAAACTCATGAGGATTTGCAAGCTCTATTTGCACAGAGAATCAATTACTCCAGGCTACTGTGTTCAAATGGCAAATCATCATCAGGCTGGCTCCTTCAGGGAAAAGGAGCGAATGGTCTATCCCTCTGGTCATTCTTTATACCTCAAGGGCAGCCTGATTCAAACAGGATCCTGCATCTGAAGGGCACAGAAATAATCAGGAGGACCCTAAGAGGTTAAGTGTTATGTAAAGTGAGACACTTTGCTGAAAATTTGTGTAAAGAGGAAACTCAGACTTTTAGAGACTTTTTCAGAAAGAAACTATCAAAAATCAATACATCATTTAACACACCAAACTATTTAACTTGTGTTGTGTAAACATGCATGATGTTATTATAATTGTTTCATGAACAAAGTTCAATAGATTTGTGTGCACCTACGACACAGCAGCTGAATATCAAATTCAAATTAAACGTCTACAATCATATAGCATCTTTAACACGAAAACAAACATTCCAGGGAAAAGAATGTCAGCCGTGGAAGGGGATTAATACAGGATGACCAAAGATGAATTTTGAGATTACTTTTAACTGAGAGGTTGGTGCACATGCAGGAGAAGTTAGGGAAACAGTGCAGCCAATGTAAACAAATACACCTATCAATTCAAACAATGTTTTGTGTAACTGATGGAAACTAGTACTAATTAAGCCAATGTTTAAGTTGTATCTGCAATTTATAGATTGTACAAGGCTTTGCCATCAGAAGGGTTAAATATTGAACTGGTATGCTGGCAGAAATGCACACAAAGGTGGTATATCCGGTTTATCCACATAATGCACCCTTAGATTTCGGAAACTTCAGTTGAAGAAGAATGAAGTGGAACTGTTTTCTTTTTTAAAATCACGAGGAGTCTGGCCAGAGCGTACAAGGTTCCCATAAAAGGATTGAGAATCAGAGGGCACACTCTTAACATCTTGTGCAAAAAGAAACTCGAGGTGAGAGAATACTTTTTCTGGTGAGTCATTACAGTCTGGGACACACCACTTGGAGGCAGATTCAATTGAGGCATTCAAAAGGACATTAGATGATTATTTAAACAGAAAGTCTGTGCATACTTCTAGGGAAAAGGTAGGTGAGTAGCACTAATCAAAATGTTCAGACAGCCAGTGAACACACCATGGGCTGAACGGCCTCATGCACAGTAACAATTCTGAGCTAAAGTGAGCTTTGGGAACCTTTGGTTTAAACGTAACAAAGGGACACAGATGAATGTCCCAACTGTCAGTGAGCTTGGACAATGGTGGATATGGGCAGCATTATGGACATTGTAGCAAGCATGTTGATGGATAAGATATGGACCCAGTATATGAGATCAAGGTCAAATAGGATGCCAAGGCTGTAAAATAGTCGAGTTCACCCTCAGATTTGGTCAAGAAGAATGGAATCAATGCTTATGGAATTAACTGCCCTGGTAATTTTGAAAAGACTGTTAATGTCAACTAAATATATAGTGTAGCCCTAAATAAATCAGTGGTCCCAGGTTTCTTGTGGTTTACACTAAATTAACCTACATCAGCCAGTTCAGCAATGAAAGCAATATAGTTGGTTTCAGTCTTCTGGAGCAGGCAAGAGAGACATGCCAGAAATTCCTGTTCTGGATCTTCAACTGGTTATCTTCGGAGGAAGCATACATGAACAAAATTCAGCTAACAGACAACAGCTCCCTGTAGCTGACTAATCTATGGTTTTCAATTAAAAATGATTATTTAATTCAGGTATGCAAAAGCTGCCTCTGCCCACAGAACCGTATAACCAAGAATCAATTATGTCTTGAGAGATAACAGATAAAAATGTGTTAAAGTTATGAAGTAAAATCCCAGTGAACCAGTAATGTTCCAAATGTCTTAAATACATGCTCTACATCTATTTCTGAAGTAAAATACACGTCTTAACTTTCCCTTTTAGACTTTGTAGAGGACATAGCATTTACCTGAATATTTACAGAGTGTGAAAAATTGCTGCTCATCTGTTGTCCCTTCATATCACTTTCAGTTTCATTTTTATTTTTGGTTGTCATCAAACCACTGGTGGGTAAAAGATGATCTTCTGATTCTTTACAGAGCAAGTTGTCTTCTGAATATTGTGTTGATCTACCACAATTACCTTTAGAAGAAAAAAAGCAAACACAGAAATCAGAAACCAATATTAATCTCAGGCAATATTAAGATACAGAAAAATATTCATTTTTACTAATTTTTAATATTTGAAAATGTCAATCCAGCAGGAGAATAAAAATATGAAAGCATAGACTAAGTTCCCTGTCTTTCCTTTCTCTGTAGCTGACATCTGGAACCTGAACTAGCCATTCTTTGAGAGAGAGGCTACAGACTGTATACACACCCTGGAGCAGGGATTATTAGTCAAGAACGAACATAAGAAAACCATTTACTTTCCTCCCTCACCCCAAAATACTGGGACCAATTCTAATACCTCAACTGTTACCACTGAGCAACTTTCACTGATTAGGGATCAAATCAAATCTAGGCCTTGGAGTTTATATAACTTGGTTTCACATTGTGTGACATTTTGCCAGATCAGTTATTATGAGATGTTTTTATGATTAAAATGTCATGATTCTTGTGCAAACACACTCTCTAATCTCCATCCCTCATTGCTCCTCCGAATTAACAAAGGTAATCTCTTCCAGCACTTCAGATGATATGCTATAGTTCCTCAAATGCCTCCTGGATCTCTCCTTCGTCCACAACTGATAATAAACCTTGACCTTAATTGATGAATGTTAGCAATCGAAACTTTTCAAAATAATTAGAATGCATACAACATACCCAACATAGATTTGGATAAGCTTAGTTAACAAAGGAGAAATAAACTTCCATTTATTGAGCGCTATTTACATCCTTATGACATCCCAAAATGCTTCACAGTCAATTAATTTTATTTAGAAAAGTGTAGTGACTGTTATATCAAAAACAGTCAATTTGTGCTTAATAGTCCCTTGAAGTATGGAGGAAGAACACAAACCATGGTGACTGAATGCTACCAAATAGCTGCACGATTGTGTATCGTTTTACTGTGTCAGTCTCAGTATGCATTGCATTTGTGGTAGATATTTCCATTTGGATGTTCAGAAAATACTAAGTAACTTACGGAATAACAAACAAAGAACTGCGAATGCTGGAAATCAGAAACAAGAACAGAAATTGCTAGAAAAACTCAGCAGATCTGGCGGCAACTGTGGAGAGAAATCAAAGTGAATGTTTTAGGTTTTGAAGGAGGATTACTGGACCCAAACATTAGCTCTGATTTCTCTCCATAGATGCTGTCAGGCCTGCTGAGATTTCCCAGCAATTTCTGTTTGTTTCTAAGTAACTCAAGGTTTAATCTTCATTCAGCATGGCAAATTATCTCCAAATATCCAAATCCTGAAACCACAGGAGATGGGTGAGATACTAAACAAGTATTTTGCATCCGTATGTCCTGTGGAGGAGGATATGAAAGCTAGATAAATTAGGGAAATAAATAGTGATACCTTGAGAAGTGTCCATATTACAGAGGTGGTGGTGCTGGATGTCTTAAAACACATAAGAGTGGATAAATCCCAAGGATCTGATCAGGTGTTTCCCAGATCTTTGTGGGAAACTAAAGAAGAGATTGCTGTGCCCCTTGCGGAGATATTTGTATCATGGATAGTCACAGGTGAGGTGGCAGAAGACCTGGAGGTTGGCTAACGTGGTGCCATTATTAGTAGTAAGGAAAAGCCAGGGAACTGTAGACCAGTGAGCCTGATGTCAGTGGTGGGTAAGTTGTTGGAGGGGATTTCTTGAAGGACAGGATTTACATGCATTTGGCAAGGACTGATTAGGGATAGTTAACATGGCTTCCTGTGTGGGAAATCATGTCTCACTAACTTGATTCAATTTTTTGAAGAGGTGACAAAGATTGATGAGGGTAGAGTGGTAGATGTTGTCTATCTGGACTTCAGCAAAGTGTTTGACAAGGTTCCACATGAAATCCAGAGGGTGTTAGCCAATTGGATACAAGATTGGCTTGAAGGTAGGAGACAGAGGGTTGTTTTTTGGACTGGAGGCCTATGACCAGTGAGGTGCCGCAGAGATCAGTGCTGGTCCACTGCTTTTCATCAGTTATGTAAATGATTTGGAGATGAATTAGGAGGTATGGTTAGTAAGTTTGCAGATGACAACAAAATCAGTGGTGTGGTGGACAGTGAAGAACGTTATCTCACAGTACAACAGGACCTTGATCAGATGGGCCAAGGAGTGCCAGATGGAGTTTAATTTAGATAAACGGGAGGTTTTGCATTTTGGAAAGGCAAACCAGGACAGGACTTATACAGTTAATGGTAGGGTTTCCCTGGGGAGTGCTTCCGAACAAACAGACCTCGAGTACAGGTGCATAGTCCCTTGGAAATGGAGTCACAAGTAGACAGGATGTTGAAGGTGGTGTTTGGCACGCTTGCCTTCATTGATCAGTGCATTGATAATAGGAGTTGGGATGTTGTGTTGCTGCTGTAGAGGACATTAATGAGACCACTTTTAGAATACTGCGAATACTGTTGGAAGCTGAGGGGTGACCTTTTTAGGGGTTTATAAAATCACAAGGCCCATGGATAGGGTGAATAGCCGTGGTCTATTTCCCCAGGGTAAAGGTGTCCAAAACTAGAGGGCATAGGTTTAAAGTGAGAGGGGGAAATTTAAAAGGGACCTGAGGGGCACCTTTTATACAGAGAGGATGGTGCACTTATGTAATGAACTGCCAGAAGCAGTGGTGGAGGCGGGTACAATTATAACATTTAAAAGGCATCTGGTTGGGTTTCTGAATAGGAAGGGTTTAGAGAGATATTGGTCAAATGCTGGCAAATGGGACTAGGTCAGATTGGGAATGTATGGTCAGCGCCGACGAGTTGGACCAAAGGGTTTGTTTCCATGCTGTATGACTATGACTGCCTGTGCAATGACAGCCAGCAAACCAAAAATCCCCCACTTTGAAAAATCTGCACTCAAACATGAAACCCAAATTACTTCAATCCTTAAATTCATTCAGGCAAACAATACTAAATTACCTTAAATGGAACAATGTAGTGTGACTTAATAAAGCAACAAAGTGGTTCAAAGCTCTTCAATTAAATAAAAACCATGGGCAAAAGAATTTTTGAAGAGGAATTGCTAAGATATTCTCCCCTTCAAATTGACATGGCCTAGTTTTTTTATTTTCTCTCACAAGATCACATTTTTAGGTAGCATGAAGAGTTCATTCAGTATGTTACCATGTTCCTACACTACAATTGTGTGCAATAGGTTGGAAGGAACTCGGAACTATAAGGAAAAAAATACACTTGGGTATATGATTGTGTGTAAAAGTATATATATCAAAAACATATTTATTTCAAAGTTAACAAAATACAGATAGAAAGGCAAAATGTACAAGTCAAATTAGTCAGTCAATGTTCTCAAAATACCTCGAAGTGGATACCTGTTGTGTCTATTTACCTCAGAGCCCTATAGGCCATTATTCCTCCACTTTAATAAACTCACCAATTATGTTAACAAAGTTCTTCACTTGGTTTCCATGGTTACTATTGGACTCTGACATGTCACCTTCATATTTATCTGTGCACACACTCTCCTCCATCCCTAAAGAATGTTGCACTGTACAAACAATAATTCTTAATTTTTGAATCTTTTGAAGAAAATATCCACTGTTGCATTTTGATGGTGCGTTCTAAACTGTTGAGTTACGTTGTTAGACAATAGTCATCTCAAGTATAAAAGTTCGAAACCCCAAAAGGATCACAAAATGGCTGTTCTGTACTGATCCTTCATTTTCAAAGCACCACCTTTGGTAGAAAACAGAAAAATGGTTAAATACTTAAGTTTTTCTTACCAATGAAGCATCAATACTTTAATAATATTTTTACAAAGAAAAATATTTCAGTTGCAAAATTATCCACAGAAGAGATGCAAATGATAAACTGAAAAATGTTAGCTAGGCAAAAATTTCCTTCCCCTTTGTTTGAATTATGATGAAAATTAATGTAACACTACATACAGTGGATCTTTGGTGACCAATATTCAGAGCTGTCAAAAACCAGAAAAATGCTAGATGCAAGGTTTTGGTGATGGACTGGACATTTGAGGCATTAATTTAGTTAATAAGATGAATCACTCCCTTCAGCTGTAAAGAAATGGAAAGATGGAAGTAAGCTGACCACCTTCAGTAAGATGCATATCCTTTAACTCAGAAAAGCGAGTTTGGATTGGCTGGTACAAAAACAAAGGAGAGGTGGTGGTTCAATCCCCAACAAATGCACAACCAAGATATTTTTATATCAGAAGGGGTGTGATACTTCAGCTGTTGATGCCACTCTCCAATACAAAAGAATCTAACTTTATGGCATTAACATGAGAGAGCAACATTTTTCTGGGTGCTATAAGCTGCTGGCAGTTAATGCAACTTCTCTACATAAATTTTAAGCCTGCAGCCAATTCTACTGCAAGCGTCGTTACAAACGACAATTATTGTTCCATGGTGTTTACAGTTGTGAAAGTTGGATGTATGTAAAAAGGCAATCTCCCTTCACCAATTAGCCTCAAAGTAAAAACAAGATCAGAAAGTAAATAAAAGAAACGTTTACAGAAGTCATATTTCTTTTCAACTTGTATTTTCTAAAGACTTTAACTTCAAAGTTATCTTTCTTGGGCAGTATTGATGCCATGACAATAGCCACTGGCTGGCAAGGTACAAAGGAATAATCAGCTTTCAGATTATTAGAAGCAAGCAGGTGAATCTCAGGCAAGGATATGACTGCATTCATCTGGGACAGACCAGCACTCCTCCATGCATAAAATCAGTCATTCAGTTGTCTAACCTTAGATTAGTCCCTCCGTTCCAGAGGTGTGTAAAAACATCTCTGAACAGGTTGATTAAAAAAATAGATTACTTAAAAGAATTGTCACTTGACTACATGTAGTAACAAAAGAACTTGTAAAATTACAGCACATTCCTAAAGGGAAAAGGGCTTACAAACAAGAAAATGAATAAAAGTACTGTATTTAAAATGCAGAACCATCCTGAAAAATGGATTAAAAGCAGTTTAAAGATTGTTTAAAATTCAAGTAACTGCCAGTCTCAGTTTGTCTTGCAGTAAATTACAATTTCCAATTGTGTGAACAGTAGGACATCAGCTATATTTAAAACGCAATATACTTTTAAGTCTAATTATTGGTTATTATTCACTGCATTGTGCATAGGGTAGCCATAGATTCAGATGCTTATAGCACAGAAGGAGGCCACTCGGTCCATTGTGTCAATGTCAGTTAACAAAAGTCTGACAACACTAATCAACTCACCTCTTACCTTAAAAGGTCCCCCTCTAAATGGAAGAAAAAAAACCTTACTATCTATCTTATCTATGCCTCTCAATCTTATATACCTTTATCTGGTCCCCATTAGCCCATGGCAGCATCCTTATTAATCCCTCTGCACCCTCTCTAGGGCAATCACGTCCATCTTATAATGGTGACCACAGCTACACACAATACTCTAGTCGTGGTCAAAATAGCAGTTCCAGCACAATCTCTTTGCTCATTTATTTAAGTTCCAGCTAATAAAGGCAAATATCCCATATGACTTCTTAATAACTTTATCTACCTGCCCTACTATCTTCAGAGATCTGAGAATGTGTACACCAACAGCCCTAGGGTTTTTAAGAATTTTCCAATTTCTTACATTCGTCGTGTAATGCCTTGCCTCATTAGCCCTCCCTAAGTGCACTACCTTACATTTTCCAGGTTAAATTCCATTTGCCACCGCTCTGCCCACCTGACCAGTCTACTGACATCTTCAATATTTACCACCCTGAGTTTTTTGCCATGTGCGAACTTCATCATACCCCTACACTTAAGTCAAAATTATTAATGTACACCACAAACAACTAGAGCCCCAGCACCAAAGCCTGCAGAATCCCACAGGAATCAGACTTGCCATTAAAAAAAAAATCCTTCTGCCATCACCCTCTGCTTCCTGCCCTCAGCCAATTTTGGATTCCATACATCACTTTGCCTTGGTTCCCATAGGCTCTTACTTTCTTGAATAGTCTACCAACAGGGACTTTATCAAAAGGCTTGCTCAAGTCCATGAAGGATACATCAAATGAGTTACCCTCATCAGCACTTCTGATTACTTCAGATAGTTCAACCCAACTGATGGCAGATTCTCAACACCACATTATTAAGCACTATATTTCATGTACAAATTAGAATTTATTCGTGAAGCTGACTAATAACATATATACAACTTTAAACCAAAAGTAAAAAGCTGTTCCCAGTTACATTATAAATGGGGAGGAAATACAAAACTAGAGTTCTTTCATGGAATTTCTCCTCTGAGAGATACTGACTTCAAAACAAAACTTTTTCCAAAGGATGCAAATGTTTACTTAAATTACTGAAATTTTAATAGTATTTATTTCAAAATAAATCATTACACTTTAATGGAAACCAAAGAATCAGCACTTCTTGCTGCAGCGTACAGTATTACATATCAGAAAAGTAGAGATTTTTCATAAACCATTTCCATGTGTGTCCCCTACCCAGGCAAGATGTGTACTTGTCCTCTGACCTTGGAGATGTCATCAATCTGTATCAATGTTGCTGTCTGCATCTATCTCACAGTATAGCTGAAGAATCACACCAGAGGCCACAGCGGAAGGGATTTGGTTCATCATCAAAAAGCACCGTTGAACAAGCTATCTAGTAGTGAAGCCTATCTATATACATTGCATTCACTTTAACAATACAATATTTATCTATTACAATAATCACGGGAAACTTCAACATGTGTACTGGGTGTACTGTGAAAATCAGGTCGGTTGTGGATCACAAGAAAAGAAATTCATGGAATGTCAATGAGATGATTTTTCGGAGCAGCTTGTGGTACAGCCTACTAGGGAACTGGCAATGCTGGATTTAGTGATGTGTAATGAGGTAGATTTGATTAGGGAACTTAAGGTGAAGGAATCTCTAGTGGGCAGTAGTGTTAATAGAATTTACCCTGCAGTCTGAGAGGAAGAAGAATGAATCAAACGTAACAGTATTACAATTGAGTAAAGGTAATTACAAAGATACGAGTGAGGAGCCAACCAGAGTTTGGAAAGGACACCTAGCAGGGAAGTTGGTTTTGCAGCAATGGCAGAAGTTTCTGGGGGTAATTTGGGAGCCACAGCAGACATTCATCCCAAGGAAGAAGAAATATACTAAGGTGAGGACAAAGCAACCATGGCTGAAGGAAGTCAGAGACAGCATAAAAAAGAGAAAACATTCAATGTGAAGATTAGTGGGAAGGTAGTGGATAGGGAAGCCTTTAAAAAAAAAACAGCAGAAGATAACTTAAAAAAGCATTGGGGGTAGGTGGGGTGGGGGAAGATGATGAAATATAAGGATAAGCATGCTACTGGTACAAAAGAGCGCAACAGTGTTTTTTACATATATAGAAAGGCCACAGTGGATATTGGACCACCGGAAAATGAGGCTGGAGAAATCATAATGGGGAGCAAAAAAATTGCAGAGGAACTGAATGGATACCTTGCATCAGTTTTCACAGTGGAAGGCATCAGCAATATACCAGAATGTCAAGAGAATCAGGGAGGAGAGGTGAGTGTGTAGTGGAAGCTGGGAAAGCTGAAAAATGTGAAGGCGGATAAATCACCTGAACCTGATAGCCAACATCCCAGACTTCTGAAGGAGGTAGCTGAGGACGTTGTAGAGGCATTAATGGTGATCTTACAGGAATCATGGAGAGTCCCAGAGGACTGGAAAGTGGCCAGTGTAACACCTCTGCTTAAGAAGGGAGGGTGGTGGAAGCAGAAATGAAAATCAATTTCAAAAGAGAAATTGTGAGGACACTAAAGGGAATACAAGGTTCACAGCAGTGGAATGGGATTTATTAGACTGGTGTAGAGACAGCCAGCATGGACTTGATGGGCAGAATGGACTTTCTCGTTAAACTGCTTTATAAGGAAATAAAGCTTTAGTATCATCCTTTAGACGAGGCCAGTTCACATTAAAACCTGTTAATTTTTGTTAAATTATAGTCATTATCAAATTCCTACCAAATCACAATAAAACTTCACTGATGTTGAGCAATCAATAGAACAAAAGAATTGTCAAGTTAATGAACTGCTAACATTAAGACAGAGAATATGGGTACCTCATTATAATTTTAAACTCATTACTCTTCGTAATATACTTCATGCTGAGTTTTCCAAGTTATTACTAGGGTGTACCCCTTCTGTTATTATGACTATTACAGCTGAGTTCACACATGCACCTCCACATCTCGTAACTGCAGAAGGTGTTCCACAAAATGCACATCAGAGTAAATCTACAATCAGGATTTGCTCACTAAATCACTCTGTCTGATATTGCATTGTTTGCAGGGATGACATCTGTACAAACAATCAATACTTTAGAGGTGATGGACTCAATTAAACATCATAAAATTTCAGTAACAAGAGCTACTAACAAGAATTGATTCCTCTTTCCTCAGGGACCATTCCCTCTGGGACACTCTGGTCCACTCTTCCTTCACTCCCTCACAGCTCCATGGCACTCTCCCCTGCAACCGGTGAAGGTGTAGCACCTGCCTATTTATCTTCTCCCTCCTCAGTATCCAAGAACCCAAACATACCTTCGAGGTGAAGCAGCACTTTACCTGCACTTCTCACAATCTAGCCTACTGCACTCGTTGCTCACAATATGGCCTTCTCTGCATTGGGGAAATAAAACATAGACTGGGTGACCGCTTTGCAGAACACTTGCATTCTGCCTGCAAAAATGACCCTGAGCTTCCAGTTGCCTGCCACTTTGACACACCATCCTGCTCCCTGGCCAACATCTATCTCAGGCTTGCTGTAGAGGAAGAACAACAATTCATGTTTCCACTTGGGGACCGTGCAGCCCTCCGAACTCAATATCAAGTTCAATAATTTTAGAGCCTGAACTCTCCCATGTCCTAGCCCCCAACCCCAAACACCAAACACCAGGCCTTGTTATCATGTAGTCTGCCATTACACACCTATTGTTAGCCACTAACAGTCTCCATTAACAGCTATTCACTCTCCTAGCCAGATTGTTATCCACTCCTTTTTCTGTCCAACTGCTCTTCTCTCTCTTTGAGCTTTATCATCACCTATCATTTACTCCTTACTCCCTCCCACCACCCTATCTTCTGCATATTTTCCTAGCTACCATCAGTTCTGAGGAAATGACCCGAAACAATAACTCTGACTTCTCTTCACTGATGCTGCCAGACCTGCTGAGCTTCTCCAGAAATTGCTTTTGTTTCTGATTTACAGCATCTGCAGTTCTTTTGGTTTTGATTCCTAATATTGGGTCTTCAAACCTTTGGCTTTTCTAAACAAAGAATTGTGAAAACAACAACAAAATTGCAGTGGATTAAGTCTGTCTAAACTAACTCTTGCTTGCTTTATTCTGATTCTACGTACCTTCTGTTCTTGTCTTCCACCTGCCTCTGTCGCTCCTTACCTATTTGGTCATATGTCAATGAGTCTTTAATATCTCCGTTTGCAAAGAAGAATGTAGCACAAAATTGGTTTTGATTTAGTTTTTAAAAACACGAACACGTAATGCAACAGCGTTGTACACAATGTCGTGGAAATTCAAAATTTAGAGAAAGTAACATTAAAACTATGCAAACGTTTCAAATATGACTGCGCCATTTCAATACACATTTCTAAAAATACTCAAATAGAAGTGCAGTATGTTTATTTTTTTTAATCAGGAATATCATTCTCAACATTTGTCGGTTGCTGAAAACTCTGATCAGCAGTGTTTATTAAAAGCTAGAAAACACAAGTTTTACCATAGTTGATTAAGGTGGTATCTCGCACTCTCTATATCTCCCACTTTAATTCACTGTTTTGATTATTCTTCCCTTTAGCTCCCTCCCTCACTGCCTGGCATTACACTTTAACACCTAGGCCGTTACCGTGCCATCTGCCTCTTGCAGAGCGCCGCCCACACGGCAACGAGTGGCTGCTTACATCTGCCCTGGACCAGTAACACCGAGCAAACCCTGCCATTCCCCGTTTGGTTGCTCCTCCGGTTAAGGTTTAGGAAGGGTCAGGCTTCACTTCTCAGTCGCACTACACCCACCGTTTCCTCTCGGATGTACTCACACGGTAAGTCGGTAGTAGGTGATCGGACCGTCACCTCATTAACCGGTCTCTCCCGGAAGGGTGCGAGGGGCAAGATGGCGCTACCACGTGACCAATCTCCTGGTGACGTCCTCGCTAGGCAACGCGCCATAGCAACCGCCCGCCATCCGGACCTCAGTATCCTTCCCTTTTCCAAAAGGACACCCCGCCATCATCCCCATCAACGCAACCCCCTTCAACGACAGGACACTGCTTTCCCCTCCCTCACCCCCCCTCCCACCGGGCACTCCTTCCCCCCCAACCTTACACCCCTCCCATAGGGCACTCCTTCCCCCCTCACGCCCACGACAGGAGACGCCATTCCACCCCCCCCACCCCACCCCCTACCATCACCTTTACCTTCCCGCCACCACAGGAGATACTGCCTATCGCCCCTTCGGAATATTCCACAGAAGCATCAGATTTCACGCAAAATATGTAATCTGGCGGTAAAGAAGGCAAATGGTAAGTTGGCCTTCATTGCGAGAGGATCTGAGTACAGGAGGAGGGATGTGTTGTTGCAGTTATACAGGGGCTTGGTGAGACCACACCTAGAATATCGTGTGCAGTTTTGGTCTCCTTTTGTGAGGAAGGATGCTCTTGCTCTCGGGGGAGTGCAGCGAAGGTTTACCAGGCTGATTCCAGGGATGGCGGGACTGACGTGAGAGGAGAGATTGACTAGGTTGGGATTGTTTTTGTTGGAGTGCAGACGAATGAGGGAATTCTCATACTTATAAAATTCTAACAGGGTTATTCAGGGTAGATGCAAGGAGGATGTTCCCAATGGTTGGTGTGTCCAGAACCAGGAGTCACAGTCTGAGGATTGGGGGTAGACCAAGTAGGACGGAGATGAGGAGTATTTCTTCAGCCAAACAGTGGTGAGCCTGTGGAATTCATTACCACGGGAAATAGTTGATGCCAAAACATTGAATGTATTCAGTAGGTGGCTAGATATATGAATGGGATCAAAGGTTTTTTCAGGAGAAAGCGGGATTAGGCTATTGAGTTGGACAATTAGCCATGATCGTGATGAATGGTGGCGTAGGCTCGAAGAGCTGAATGGCCTCCTCCTGCTCTTATCTTCTATGTTTCTGTCTCCACATTCTCATCCAACATACTGAGTTTCTCCAGCACTTACAGAAGTTGCTGGAAGCTCAGCAGGTCTGGCAGCATCTGTGAAGAA